TAATGCCAGTATCTTACTAAAAGCAGAAATGCTGGAAACATATCACTAAGTTCAGGAACAAGGCAAGGATACCCACTATTTCTGCTACTATTTAAAATTTTACTACAGGTATTAGCCAATGCAATTAGACAAGAGAAACAATGTACAAGCACCAGAACTGGTAAAGAAACTGTAAATCTATATAAGCATATGATAAGAAAGCTGACTTGTAAAACCCAAGGGAATCAGTGATAGAACTAATTCAAATAATATTTCAATTATGTTGACAGGATATCAACTTGGTACTCAGAAACCAATAATAGTCTTGCCGGGTGGGGTGGTGCATGTCTATTATCCCAGCAGCTCAGAAGGCTGAGGCAGGAGGATCTCAAGTTTGAGTCCAGCCTCAGCAACTTAGTGAGACCCTGTCTGAAAATAAAAAAAAAATATTTTTAAAAAGGGGCTGGGGATATGGTTCAGTGGTTAAGCACCCCTGGGTTCAATCCCTGGTACCAAAACAAACAAACAAAAAATGAAGAAACAAAAAAGGGGCTGGGGATGTGGCTCAAGCGGTAGCGCGCTCGCCTGGCATGCGTGCAGCCCAGGTTCGATCCTCAGCACCACATACAAACAAAGATGTTGTGTCCGCCGAAAAACTTAAAAAAAAAAAAAAAAATAAATATATATATATATATATATATATATATATATAAAATTCTCTCTCTTAAAAAAAAAGAAACAAAAAAGTCTTTATAAACATAAACAATAACCAATTAGAAGATACAACGACAGCTGGTTGTGGTGGACCTCTCCTATAATCCCAGTGACTCAGGAGGCTCAGGCAGGAGGATTGCAAGTCCAAAACTAGCCTAGTAACTTAGCAAGAACCTAAGCTACATTGCAAGACACTGTCTCAAAATAAAAAACAAAAAGGGCAAAAGGGGCTGGGGATGTGGCTCTGTGGATAATCAACCCTGGGTTGTTTAATCCCTGGTGCCGAAAGAAAGAAAAGAAACATGTAGCCTCTTAAACAGATGCAGAAATTCTAAATAAATGATCAGCAAGCTGAGTCTGGTGATGTATAGAAAAGAAAACACATGGTGCCCAAGTTGAATTTATTCTAAAAATGCAAGGTTAGAGATAAGAACATTAATTAATGTAATTTACCTCTTTAACAGAGAAGCAGGACCATCTCAATGAATGTAGAGCACATCCTGCTACCCCAGGGAAATAGACCCCACGATGCGTATCACACTAGTGGGAACATGGGGCTAGGAACTATCAGGGAGAGTGCGGGGAGTGGCTGGCCAGTCGTTGAGAGAGGATCTAGACACTGGGGACTTCGCTACAGTCAGTTTTATACTGAAAAAGCAAATCCTTCCCATCCTCAATTGAAACATCTTTGTTCATGCACTTAGAATAAAGTAACCACTTGAATTTGAGAAAAATAAAAGCAAGGTGATGAGTTTCCAAATAGTAATAAAATGTGGGGCTGTAGAATTTTGGGCTGGGAGAGAGGTGAGGTGACAGGGAGAAGAAAATAGGAGAACCTGATGTTGCTAATGTTTCTCAAGTTGGGTGTTTCTTTTAGTAGTCCACTCTGTTGCTTACGTACACTTGGTATAAATCATTTCATACATAGCAAATATTTCATATTGTATCTGTATATATTTTTATTCATTTATTTTAAACTGACAAGATTTTATGCATTTATCCTGAACAATATAAGGATGTGTAGTATATATGCATTGAATATTTCATAGTTCTATTTTTTTAAGAACAAATAAAATTACATTTATTTGGGGCTAATTAGGGTTGCAATCCAGGTGCCAGGCAAGGTGGTTCACACCTGTGATCCCAGTGGGCTGGGAGGCTGAGGCAGGAGAATCACAAGTTCAAAGCCAGCCTCAGCAATTTAGGTGAGACCCTAAGCAACTTAGCAGAGACCCTGTCTCAAAATAGAAAATAAAAAGGGCTGGAGATGAGGCTCAGAGGTTAAGTGCTTCTGGTTTCAATCCCGGGTACCAAATAAATAAATAAAGTTCAGACAGGGTCTCACTAATTTTTAGCTGAGGCGCTCACTAAATTGCTGAGGCTGGCCTCGAACTGGCGATCCTCCTGCCTCAGCCTCACGAGTTGCTGGGATGACAAGCACACACCACTGTGCCCAGATCCAAGCTTGTTTGTTGGTTTTTAATATCTCATAATTTAAAAAAGTGATCTCACGGTGCTGCCCCTAAACCTGCTGGATCCCCCAGCCTGGAGAATCACTGTCCCTTTTGTATCTAAGGTGTGTGGGGGGGTGTCCTCCCTCTCCCTGCCCTCATCCAGTCAGGAGTGCGTCTGGCTCTCTGCGCCTTTGGCATCTCCATCCACCCAGCCCAGCCCTGCACTGCCCAGGCGGCTGTCATCTCTCCTAGTTGGCTGCATCTGCTTCCTGACCACTCTTCCGGCTCCGACTGGTGCTGCCCTCCCTCCTCCTCCCCCTCTCTGTTACAGGATGTCTCCCGTGTGGTCCAGCTAAAACCCGTCAGTGCCTTACCTGACTGGTGCAAGTCCCCAAGTCACGAGACTGTTCATGGCCCTGCGTGATCGGCCTCTGTCTCCCTCTGAAGACTCATTTTCTGTCATTCTGAGCTCCACTCTCCAGGCCAGTGCTCCTGGGATTTCTTCTCCTTCTTCTGCTGTGGCGTTCATTGGTTTGTTTGTGGTGCTGTGCATGGAACCCAGGTCCCTGTGATTGCTACAGTGGCATCTACCACTGCATACACCCCCAGGCCCCACTCTGAGACCCTCTGTTTTCTTTAACAGGCCCGCGTCTTCAGCCCAGAGGACCTTCCTGTTCCCTCTCCCTTCCACCTGCCTCTAGCCATTTTAATTTCATTTTTAAAAAATCAATTAATTAGGGCTGAAAAGAAATTCATGTCTGAGTATACTAAACACCACTGAGTTGACTGGCAGGGTGGCACACGCCCATAATCCCAACTAGTTCAAGAGGCTGAGGTAGAAGGATCCCAAGATAAGGCCAGCCTGGGGCAACTTAATGAGACCACATCTCAAAAAAAAAAAAAAGTTCTGGGGATGTCCCCAGGATGGTGGGGTGCCCTGGGTTCAACCCCCAGTACTGAACAAAACAAAACGGGAATCATTGAATCCTACAACTAAAATGGATGGATTTTTTTCATGTTTTGTTTTGTTTTGAATATATTTCCATCACTGCATATATCACTATGTAATACATTGTGTCTGAATTGTAGTAAAACACACGATGCAAACTTTACCATCTTACCAGGGACAGTAGCATGTGCCTGTAACCTCAGTTGCTGGGGAGGCTGGGGTAGAAGCATCATAAGTTTGAGGCCAGCCTAGGCTACTTAGGGAGACCCTGTCTCAAAATAAAGAGTTTAAAAAGGGCCTGGGGATGTGGCTCATTGGTAGAGCACTTGCCTGGCACATGTGAGGCCTGGGTCTGATCCTCAGAACCACATAAAAATAAATAAATAAGGGCTGGGGATGTGGCTCAAGTGGTAGCGCGCTCGCCTGGCATGCGTGCGGCCCGGGTTCGATCCTCAGCACCACATACAAACAAAGATGTTGTGTCCGCCGAAAACTAAAATAAATAAATATTTTTAAAAAAATAATAAAAATAAATAAATAAATAAAAGTTATTGTGTCCATCTACAACTAAAAAATATTTTTATAATTAATTAATTAATTTTTGTTTTGGTACCAGGAATTGAACCCAGGGGTACTTCACCACTGAGCCACATCCCTAGCCCTTTTTTAGGACAGGGCCTTGCTAAATGGCTGAGGCTGGCCTTGAATTTACAATCCTCCTGCCTCAGCCTCCCAGAGTCCTGGGATTACAGGTGTGGGGCCCCATGCTTGGCTCTGATTTCATTTTAAAGGTCACTTCCTGCTGTAGTTTGGGTCTTAAGTGTTCCCAGAGGCTGAGTGTTGAAGGCTTGTGCTGGCCTGCGGTGCTCTGGGGAGCTGGTGGCATCTTTAGGAGGTGGAGCCTAGGGGAAGGAATTAGGTCAGTCTCTTTTTCTGCCTTGTGGTAGCCCTGAGGCGAGCAGCTTTGCTTTCCCATGGTACTCCCCACCATGATGTCCGGCCTTCCCAGGCCCTCAAACAATGGAGGCAACCAACTAAAACCTTTGACATGGCAGGGCAGGGGCTGGGGTTGTGGCTCAGAGGTAGAGCTCTTGCCTACCATGCATGAGGCACTGGGTTCCATCCTCAGCACCACATAAAGTAAAATAAAGACAATGTGCCCACCTATAAGTAAAAAATGAATATTAAAAAAAAAAAAAACCTTTGACATCAAGGGTCAAAATAAAATCTTCCTCCTTATAAGTTGATTTTCTCAGGTATTTTGTTACAGTAACAGAAAATCAACTAACATACTTCCTTACCTAGTTTTTTTGTTATTAGCGCTTGAAAACCTCCCTCTCTTATGTTTAATCATAATGTGCCAATAAAAATATGGAGAAAAACCAAAACAAAAACCCCTCCCTCTCTTACGATCTCACTCTCTGTTTTCTTAACTTCTGACCAAAAGTAGATTTCCAGGAAACCCAAAGCCCACAGGGGATGACAGGACACTGAGACAGGAGAAGCCTGGATCGCTGCCCTCTGGTGGTGACCTTCTGAAAGACATTTGAAATATTAATTCAAATGTTGTATAAAGGTTAGCCCCAGAACCTTGTGGTTTAAATCCAAACACAACGTATTATCTTCTTACACTCTTTGTGAGTCAGGAGTTATTTATTATTTATTTATTTATTTATTTATTTTTTGGTGCTGGTGGTTGAACCCAGGGCCTCATGCCCACTTGGCAGGCACCCTAACCACTGAGCTACACCCCTAGCCCTCAAGTCAGTAGGTTCGGACTCAAGTCTCTCATGAGGTTTGCTGTTGAGATGTTGGTTGCAGCCACGGTCATTTGTGGTGCTGGGGGCTTCCCCTCCCAGGGGGCTCACTGCGTGGCTGCTGGCTGGGAGGCCTCAGTTCCTCACCTCATGGACCTGCCCGTAGGACTGCTTGAGCATCTTCATGACACAGCAGCTGGCTTCCCCTGAAACAAGTGACCCAGGAGGAATGCAAGCAGGGAGCCAAAGGGACTTTGGTGACCAGATCTCTGAAGTCAATTGTGCTCGATTCTATTGATTAGAAGTAAGTCCAACTCATGGCTCCACCTCCTAAAAGACGTATGGAGAATGTGCGAGACTGGGAGACTCCAACATGGAACCCATCCAAAGGCCTCTTGGTACCTGCACTGGAGGGAAAGCAAATCTCAGCCTGAGCACTGCTCTGCTTTGCAGTCAGGGCTATATTCACGCTCCCTGGCAGTCCCACTGTGTGTCCCTCCTAAGTTTCCATTCCATTTCTTCTCGGGTGAATAATCACAATTTCTTCTCCTTCCTCAAACGTGCAACACTCTCCCTTACCTGCTCCTCTGTCCACCTGCATCTGTGCCTCCCCATCTCCTCTCTTCCCGCCTGCAGGGTGGAATCACTCTCTCCTCTCAAAGCTTAGCTCCTCCAGCCTCCTCTCCCTTCTTGATTTCTCAGTCACCGCTTGTCCGTGTTTCCTGTTTTTCATTCTGTCTTTCTCCCCCCCCCACCCCCCACCCCGGCCGAGCTGGGGCTCAAACACAGGGCCTCAAACATGTTAGGCAAATGCTGTCCCAGGAGCCACATCCCAGTCCTCCTGGTTTCTCTTTCTTTTCTTTTTGTCTTTTCACTGGAGGGTCCACGGGGCAGGGACCTTATTCTCTACACGTGGAACGGGCCTGGCTTGCCAGGGGCAATCAATAAATGAGTGAATGAATGAGGGGAGGGAAAGCACCCATTCGTCAGGAAGGAAGAATGAGCAGGCTGAGCAGTGTGAGTTTTGGTCCCAGGGATTGAACTCAGGGCCACTTAACCAATAAGCCACACCCCCAAACCTTTTTGTGTTTTATTTAGAGACAGAGGCCTCCTTTACTCAGGGCCTCGCCAAGTTGCTGAGGCTGGCTTTCAACCACTGATCCTCCTGCCTCAGCCTCCCACACGGCTGGGATTACAGGCGGGCGGCACCTCCCTAAATATCTTAAACCAGGCAAGAAGACTCCGAAGGGAAGAGGTGACTTTTAACTCATGGCTGTCCCTGGTACTTGTTCCTTTGCTCAACACACGTCCTGTAAATGTGAGCTGATTGGCCTGCTGCCAGCTGATTGCCAAGGCCACACAAGCCCTGGCACCTTTCTTTGTGCTGTTGTTGGGTGACCCACCGTGCTTCCCCTGGATCTGTCCTTGGCGTGTCTGGGCAGGCCTCCCCAGCTGGCTGCCTGCCCCCTGCAGAGGGGAGATACATCAGCTTCCTGTCCCTGCTCTGCCCTCTGAGGACACCCGGGCTCAACAACTGTCTCAGGTGGCAGCCAGCCAGGGAGCCTGAAGTGGCTGTTCCTTGGTTTTTCCCAGAAACTGTTAGGAATGGCTCAGCCTTGGGTTGGGGTTGCTCCCCAGGCCCCCAGTGGAGGTGACAGGCCAGGCTGGGTGAGAGGCAGTAGCATCCTAGCTCGGCCACTCTCCAGCCGGGTGACTTGGGCTAAGTTCTTAGTCTTTTTTCTTTTTTAAAAACGTTTGTGTTTTAGTTGTAGATGGACACAATGCCTTTGTTTAGTTTTATGGGGTGCTGAGGGTGGAAGCCAGGGCCTCAGGCTTAGCGCTCCACCACTGAGCCCCAGCCCAGCCCCAGTTCGTCATCTTTTCAAGCATCTGTTTTCTCATCAATAAAATGGCAAGCTGGGGGCTGGGGATATAGCTCAGTTGGTAGAATGCTTGCCTTGCATGCACAAGTCCCTGGGTTAAATCCCCAGCACCAAAAAAATAAAATGGCAAGCTGTCGTGGAGAAAATGAACATGGAGCAAAGTGCAGGGGCTGACAGCAGGGTTGTGGGGCCACCTGGCTTGGGTTTAAATCCCGTTATTCCTTTGTAGCTGTGCAACTCTGGGCAAGTTACTTAACCTCTCTGTGTATAAAATAGGTATGGTAATAGTACCTGGCTCATGGGGTTGTCATGAGGATGAGAACTGCCTGGCATGCAGTCGGAGCTCATCACTTCTGGGCTGGCTGTGCTATTACCCTGATTTCTGTAGTGCTCAGTGGGAGATGTTCTTGTGGTTCTGAGCCCTGCCCTGGTGGCAGTCACACGAGGCTGTGTTTGCATCACGTCAAGTGCCAGGGGCACACGGAGAAGACTGAGACTCCCTCAGTTTGTGGCTGCTGCTGGAAATGTCTTTGGGTGTACACTAAGGGTTTTCTGAGCAAACAGGAGAGGGAAAAGCTCGCTGTTAGGTCGGTGGTGGCCACTTGGTGGCGATTTAGAATAGAATAAAGCAGCCGCGAGAAAGGAACATCAATCAGGTGACTTCGGAAACTCCTGTCAATCAGCAGGACCCCCTGGCCAATCCTGGAGTTCAGCCAGCTCCCCTGACCAACTCCAAAGGAACAAGGGGCCCTAAAAACACCTTTTCCTGTCCCAAGCCCTTCCCTTCCTGCCGTGAGCCCCATAAAAGTCCAGTCCAGTCGAGCTTCCACGGGTTTCTCCTTAGACCTTTCTCCTGTCCACTCTGTGGGCTGATCCTCCCAGGAGTGATATCTCAATAAAGCCTGGTTTGGCGGCCTCTTTAAATCTGCCTCCTTTGGTCGCTGCCCGCCTTCGCCTGATCTGACACTCGCTATAGCACGTGGTGACAGGAGGAGCCAAAGTAAAGGAAGCTAGGCTGAGGAGGCCCGTGGGGTTTGGGGAGAAGCAAGCTGAGCTGAACTACAGAGGTGTGGTGGGTGAGGGAGGCAGGCTGGAAGCAGGCCATGCAGAGATCCAGCTGCCTAGTTAGGGAGGTCTTTGCTAGAGCCGGGCAGGTGCTGGTGGCTGCACATCTGTCCAGCTCCTCCCAGCTGTCTCCTGGGCCGCAGAAGCTGAAGCAGTAAAAATGCATGTATTGCAGGTGTTCCTCCACAGTTCTGATCATGCCAAAATTAAAGTTGGACCGAATGTGATGGTAGGAGAAGGGTGTGGCTCCAGGTGGCCCTCCTGCGGCTGTGCTTCCAAGAGGTCTGCTGTGGCTCTGGGACCACTATACTGCGGAGGCTTCTAAACCCTTGGACTGCAGTTTGCCTCCCTTGAACAGCTGAGTATTGCTCTGCCTGTGACATACCACTATAAGTAGATCCCTGCCCAGGAAGCTATTTATAGCAAAGATGTCTCCTCATCTTTCACAACGCTTTGGGTCCCTAATTCTGCCAGAACTCACCACTCCAGAGCTGTCAGGCCCAACGATTTATTTATCCAACTACCCACCCATCCTCCCACCCCTCCAATCATTTATTTATTCTCTCCTTCATCATTTACCAAGCTCTTATTCTGTAGTAGGCATTGGACTGGTAGTAGGCTGGGAACAGGGAGGCAGATCAGACTATTGCTATGAATTGAGCCGCCCTAAAACAGAGGCTTACAATAACAATCATTTGTTTTCTTACAATTTGGGCAAGACCATGAGGGGATGGCTCTTCCTTCCTTCCTTCATGTGGCACCACTTGGAGCACCTCATTTTGGACAGGAAGATCTGCTTCCAAGATGGGCACACTCCCATGAATGGCAGCTTGGTGATAGCTGTTGCCTAGACCTCTGATTCTCCACACAGGCCTCCCCACAAGACTGCTTGGGCTTCCTCACAGTATGGAGGCTGAATTCCAAGAGAAGGAAATGAAAGCTTGTCGTGAGACGCTCTGGACAGGAGTTATGTACACATGTTTAAGTCTTGAGTAAAGAAGTACTGAACTGGTATTGCCCTCCCCTCAAAGGTACAGCTCTAGGAGTGGGTGTCACCCCATGGGGTTGAATTACACCCACTTGTTTGTTGTAACCCCTTTGCCCTTTTTTGGATAGAATGTTCCATGAATTAGCTCCCAGTATTAATATAATCCAGGTTTGAGGCATGCTTCTCCTCTTTCTTGCCTGCCTTGTCCCCCTTGTGGGAGCTGTGGCTGAGTAGTAGTTGCTGAACCCAAAGAAAAAGGTACTTTCTGTGACTGTGTCTTTATTTAGTCATCCCAAATTCATTTGGAGTGACCCTGATTGATTGATTTAATTGTGTGTTCCCACAGAAGCTGCCAGTTCTCTTCAAGGATAAGCCAAGAATTGGCACAGTGTCATTTCTACCATATTCTATTGGATCAAAGCAAGTCAGAGGCCAAGCCCAGAGCCAAGGGGGTGGGGAGAAAAACCTTACCTCTCTGTGGGGGAAGTGATGAAGAACTTATGGCCATCTGTAATACACAAATTTATCAAGCAGTGCACAGTCTTATGCTGTTTGGATTATATTAAACTCTGAAACTAACCAGTTGACTAGTTGGTTATTATTCTTGGATTGATGGAATCTAAGGATTATTTCCATTCCTCTTGTTTCCAAGAGGTGGGCCTTTTCTGGACTAACTAACACTCCTGGCTTTGACCCACTTGCTCTCACACCTCCTAAGGAGAAGAGAGACTTTTCTAGGTGAGTTGATAGCAGAAACTAGATAAGCTCATAAGGGCCCAAAGGAAGTGAGATCCTCAGAAGCAGAGTGAGTAAGTCTGTCCAATTTAGGGAAGGGTGGGCAGATCTAAAGTGTCATTTTCCCAGGGAGTTTATTTGTAAAACAAAAGTAACATTTTGATCTATTTCTCAGTTGGCACTGAACTTGAGCAGGAAGAGACGGAGGGTTATGTTGTGAGTATTCCAAAACCCCAACTCTAAGCTTGTCACATAGTTTGTGCTCAATAAAAACATGTTGATGTATATCAATATTCAATCAACTCTGATAGAACAAAAAAAGTGTACCTCTTGGCATTTTCTCATTTATTCATCCACTTATTCATTCATTCAACAGTCAGGCCAGATGCTCTCCATGGTCAGTGCATCTCTCCAGCATGAGACTGAAAGCTCAACAGGCTGGGGCTGCATTTTTGTGTGTGCGGGGGGAGGGCAGTAATGGGGATTGAACTCAGGGGCACTCCTAGACCACTGAG